ATGCGAGACATAGCGTTCCCTGCAGGGAACGCGGACCAAGAAAGCTGCCCGGGCCTGCCAGCGGCCTGGCCTTGATTTCCTGGCAGCAGAGAGAAGGGGCTCTTGTGCGGGGAGGAACAGCCTGCCAGGCAACTATATTTATGGAGCACCTGTTGTGTGGAATTTGAAAAGGAGCAGAAGGGTCTTGTCCTCAAGAAGCTTATGGTTAAAGGAGAAGAAAAGTCCTCATCTACTGTAAACCCTTCAGCATTCACAACTGCATTTGGAATGGGAAAGGAACTGGTGATCCAGGGAGGGGCTGAGCCTTGTTACCCAAAGTGTGATCTGTGCAGCAGCACAAGCAGCATCACCTGGGAGCCTGTTGGATTCACAGAATCTTGACCCCTGCTGTAGACCTCCAGAGTCAGAATCTGCAGTTTAATCAGATCTCTAGGTGATTCATATGTACCCAGCAGTTGGAGAAGCTCTGGAAGGTCGTGGAAGGAGTGAGTCTTGCCTTTGTTAAGAGAGCAGAATGATCTGGTTTAGTGACACTGAAGGCAGGCAGTTCATTTACCTGTGAGCTTCATAAACACAGAGATCTTATCTCATCTCAGCCACTTTTATGACCCCCTTGCCCTTGTTACGTTCTTAACGGGAGGTCAATGAATTGCAGCTGCAAGGGTGGTCCTCCCTGCGTCCCCATTCAGTGGGGACTGTGGAAGTTGTTGTTAATGAGTGATCGTCATACAGGCAGCCAGTGAATTGTGGGAACATGCAAATGAATCTTAGAGGTGTGGGCAAAGCTGGGCATGACAGAACCTCTCAGAGACCGAGGTATGAGTTAGAGAGAGATACATGAGCGGTTCCTTCAAAGTAAAAGGGGATACCTTGGGGTCCTGAGACTTACTTGTAATGGTTCATTTTTTGTCTAAGTCTTGAGCTGCTTTGTCTTCACCACTCCTGTTTTCCCATCTCTTCGGGTTTAGGACAGCTGGAATTCTTTGTATCAAATGCTCTGAAAACAACTGAGGGTTCATTTTCTCTTGTCCTTTCTGTCCCATCGCAATTGATTGACCGATCTACTTCTTCACACTCTACTAACTATAATGCATATCAATTTTATCAAACTCAATTATATTCCCATTTTACAGTCAGGATGTGAAGGGCCTACCTCCTCAGTGAGTCCCCAGATACTTCCTCAGTCCCCACCCCAATTCCAAACATGGTCTAACATGATGCAGCCCACAGACCTAGAAATAAGACAGATCCTTAGCAGGTGGCGTATGTGGAGAGACATGAGTGTCTTTTTCACAGGTGCAACAGAGTAAAAATGATGATGATGATGATAAAAATCATGAAGAGATAAAGCATTGACCATGCTCCCCACCCCTGTTAACTCATTCATTTCCACCAGCAACCCTTGGGGTAGGTTCAGCTATTGTTTCCATTTCATAGGTGAGGAAATTGAGGCACACCTCACCCCTACAGATAGGGCAAAATCCACATGAGGCCAGTGGCCTTGAGAATATGGCAATCAATCCAGTGGGGAAAATGGAGTAATAGCAGTAATAAATCAACCTACTTCTTCTGCCTCCATTGGTGTGAGTGGCTGGGAAGGGAGGTACGGGCCCAGGTGCTGCAGAGCTCAGGCACTGAGTCAGGCAGACCCGGGGCAGAGCCTGGCTCTACCCTTCAGGGGCTCTGGGACCTCCAGGGCCTGAGTTCACATCTGCAAAATGGTGATAATTATAGGACTGAGTTCATAGAGTCATAAGGATTATAAGAATTAACATATATTAGGTCCTGCATATAGTGGGTACCAATAAGTGGTTGCTTATTTCTTCACTGGCTATAAAGTAAAGTTTCTGTGATTTTAAGGAGGAAAAGTTCTGGTCCTGCCTACTTAACAGGCAGGCATACATTTTCTTATTTCCACTTCCTGCAACCATCTTACAGTATCCTAGCTTAATGTCCTAAAATGTTTCTGCAGTTCTGACTATCTGATACGGTTGGCTGTTAATAACCAATGTTCTTTAGATTTGATGGAAGTCGAATGAAGCCCTTTATATTCTCATCTTGGTTGGATTTTGGGCCTGTTACATAGACCATGGAGGCTACAGACATAATGGAAATAGAGAATTTGCATTCAGGGCACATTTGCAGTTTCAGTGTCCAAGAAGATTCTCTTTTATTTATTTGATTAGAATTCACCCTTGGTCTTGGATTTTAAGCAACCATGGCTTTCCTTATAAAGTGGGTCTTTGTTACATAGATGCTGAGAAAGTATGGTCAATTTGATGGTTCATAGAAGCTCTTCTTAATTTTTTTTTAATCAATTCACTATGCGTTTTATGTGTTTTCAGCAATAAGATGAGATACCGGGGGAAAGTAAAGGAATGAAGGATCCCTGTCTTTGTTTAGTTGGAGAGAAAAAGAAACATAAATATGCTGAGACTACTAGAAAATAAATAAATTGTAATGAAAAAAAGAATGTATTATGATGTGGTCCAGAATCCCAGGAGAAAAACAAAGGGGAACAGAATGGAATAATTAGCTCTGAGAGCCTTGAGAAAAATGTCAAAAAGATGGCCAAAGGATTGCAATGGTGGTAGTTAGTGCTGTTCATTACAGAGCTCTTTCTACATGCCAGGAGCTGTGCTGTGCATTTTACCTAGGATTAGCACCCTAAGAGGTTATTTATTCTATTATTCTGTTTCACGGATGAAGAAAATGAGGCTGACAGAGATTAAGGAAGGGCCCCAAATTACACAACTAATAAGGTGTAGAGTCAGGATTCAGACCTAAGTCTGTCTGACTCAATCCCATTCAATCCCATGTAGAGAGAAAGCAGGAGGTCTGTCGGGGAGAGGAACATCCTTCTTTTCAGTGGCAGAAAGGTCAGCAGGTGAGCAGAGAAACCAGCTCTAGAACAGAGGGGCCACTAGGGAGAAAAAAGAGAAGGGAGAGGAGGAAAAATCCAGCGACATTGGCTTGGAATGCTGACCTGGAGAAAGTAGACCCAACCCAACAGGTACAGAGACCCTCTCAGGTAGAATAACAGGGTGAGACACACTTGGATGATCAATAACTTCTGCAGCCATGGGGCAAAGGGACTGGAGGGCAGAGAAATTTGTCTGTGGAGAGAGCCAGGAAGAGGTACTCGGGCATTGCGTGACAATGGCCCAGTCCAAAAGATAGTGTGTCAAAGCAACTGGCCTCTTGCTCACAGTATTCTGATATCCGTGTGCTGCAACAACTCGCCCCACGCCAAGAGGTCAATATTAGATTTCCATTCCTGCACTCACATCTTTGAAAACAAAATGCTTTGACCAAGGGTTTCGTCTTCTGGTTGACGGGGCACTAAAGATTCTTTCCATGAGTTGGTGAAGAAATGAAAGCATATCTGTCCGTGCCATCGAGGGGACGCTTGTGCTTTCACTGTGTCCGCGAATTACATCATCCTGCCACGGTATCTTCTGCCAGTCTGTTAAGTTATATGTCTTTTCTCCTTTGGTTATATAATCTTTCTTCCTCATTAGTAAATAGTAATGTATTTATTTATGACTTGTGCTTTCACTGTGTCCGCGAATTACATCATCCTGCCACGGTATCTTCTGCCAGTCTGTTAAGTTATATGTTTTTTCTCCTTTGGTTATATAATCTTTCTTCCTCATTAGTAAATAGTAATGTATTTATTTATGGTCATCTGAATGAAAATAGTTTTTTTAAAAAAAGCCAAACAAAACAATAAATTGGAGTCTATACCAAGCACAAAACATTTGTGATGGAAAAAGACATCATTGCCTCCTGGCAGCCCTGTGTTTCTGTCTTCTTGATCTCTGTTATGGTGCAATTCATTCATTTTTCTACACTCATTCTGCCTGCCTAGATGATGACTGTTCAGCTAAACTGCTTGCTGTTCATACTGGCCATTAAGAGTCACTCGTGGAAAAAATTGCCTAAAATTCCAGACACTAACAAAGATAAGGTTCCTAGGATCCTGCAGTGTGCTTGTTAATACAAAAACTTTTCTGCCTTTGTATTTTTATTTAATAATCAAGTGGAAAACAATTTTAACAGAGGTCACCATCACTAACCACCTCTTCCTGCCCTGGAGTCAAAGCAGCTGGTTCAGTCACATGTCACCAGTTCCCAGTTCAGGGCATCCACAGGGATTCAGCAGGGGAAATGCTGTGCTCCTGGTCATGGGTATGCCTTTAGCTGCTTGGAAATAGTATGTTCTTTAACAGAAGTTTCTTTAATAGACATCCTAGCCCGGCTGCTCTATCATACTGGATGTCCAAAGCTGGGTGTAAAATCTCAAAACCAGAGCTCTGGAAATTTTGAATAAGTGTAGGTGGAAATCTATTCCAGACATGTGCACTTCCAGAAATGACTGTGAGAAGGGTTGATTCGGTTTCCCAGTGAACAGCAGCTTGTCTTGTGATAAAATGAAACGCTGCAAAGCCAGGGGACTTTGGTGTCATCATCGTTCAGAAAGCGTCTCTCATGAGGATGGCACAGTGCGGAGACACTGTGGTGCCCTTGCTCTCTGGGGAAAGGGAGTCTCATTTCTGCACCGACCTCACTTTATCTCTTCAGGATGTGCTCGCTACCCACTGTGTCTCATTTCGTCCTCACAGCAGCCCAATGCATATGAGTGCCGTGGCCATTTCACTAGAGGAAAGACACAGGCTCAGCACCATTAAATGCTCTGCCTTCTGCCCAAGGGGATCACTAAGTGGCAAAGACAGCTGGGTCCCCATTTTACCTGTGCTCTTTCCATCACTACTCTGTGCCACGTCCTGGAAATCTATATCATACCATTTAGTATCATACGTCTATGTCATACCGCCACACATCAAAAGGCAGCGTGTCTCGATGCCACGGGGTGATCCTTTTCCTGCTGCAGTCTCTCCTGTCAGTACAAGTAAGACGGCTGCCTGGAGTGGAGAGCAGCCCAAACCCTTCTCTGTGGTAAGTGAGCCTCACGCTTCCATTGCTCTTTTCATTTCTAGAAAATGAAGTGCCAGCCCCTACCTCACCCCCAGAAGGTGAGTTTAAACCCTGCTTCACATGTTTGGGCTGCAAATCCCGAATGCCCATCCCAGCATGATTTGGCCTCCACTGATGTTGTGAGCTTTAACCCTGATGCCACAGGGTGATCCTTTTCCTGCTGCAGTCTCTCCTGTCAGTACAGGTAAGACGGCTGCCTGGAGTGGAGAGCAGCCCAAACCCTTCTCTGTGGTAAGTGAGCCTCA